GACGAGGGTCATCTCGCTGAAGGACGTCCCAGAGTATACATCGGCCGCAAAACCGATTCCGAACGCGGGGGCGGTCGTCAGCAGGGGCGAGAGCTTGAGGGCCAGGCAGGCCGCCGTGGGACGCGCGGAGGAGGAGCTGAGAATGGGGCAGATGAGACTCGAGGTCCTTAGAAAGGAGATTGAAGGCAGACTGCCGCCACAAGTATCTATCGCGAATTTGTTAGATACGGAGAATGACGCCGCGAGGGCGAACGACGCATCCGCCTAGGTAGGTAAGGCACCTGCTTTTTTACCTAGGCCCGTATTGCAAAATGGAGCAACAAGCTACCGTTCCTCGTGCTTTGTGGCCACACAGAGTTGCGAAGCATAACTTGTGTGCCTCGATTTGTGTGTATTGATATTGTCAAGTAAAAACAAGAAACTAGTTGCTCCGTTACTCGCGAACACCTGCATCTCCAAACGCCCGCCAGCGTCAACTATTCATTTTCTTGCCTTTACGTGCACATTACTGCCATCTCAACGGCAGAGAAACACACACATGGTCAGGTACTCCGACTCGGGCATCTCCGGTGTGACGGGGTGGTCCGACGCTGCCCCCACCGTCTTCAACAGGGTGACCTCGCGCCCCAGTGAGCTGGCTGCCTCCCGGATCACCTCTACAAAGAGGTGCCGATTTTGCGTCATGGCGGCGGAGCAAGAGCATGTGCAAAGCAGTCCTCCTTGTTTCACCATCCGCATCGCCGCCAGGTTCAGCGACCGATACTTGTGCGTAGCCCGCGGCAACGCCTTGACGTTCGGCGCATACTTGGGCGGGTCCACGATCACGACGTCGAAGGACCCCTGGTCTTCTTCGGCGCTTCGTAAGTACTTGATCACGTCCGACTGCACGAACGTTATCTTGTCAGAGACGCCGTTCAATTCGGCGTTTCTTTGACCCATTTCGATCGCGCGCCCGCTAGAGTCGATGGCAACGACAGAACAGTCGTCGCTCCCCAGCGCAGCGTTCATGGCAAACCCACCCGTATAGCAGAACAAATCAAGAACCCGCTTTGAGCCCCCGCGCTGGTTGACCAGATTCCTTATAAAGGCTCTATTTTCTCTCTGATCCGCATAATGCCCGGTCTTCTGACCGCGGGTTAGGGCGAATCTCGAGAGCTCATACTTGACGTCGCACTCGTTGACGATGACAGCAGGATCTGTGATATCTGTGACAGCAGGATCTGTGATATCTGGGTGAAAGCCAGCTCGAACGTCTGTCGGAGAAGTCATGGTCTCATTTAGTGAGGTAAACAAAGAATCTTTGACACCGGGGTGAAAAGGAGCGCGCACATCCGTCGGTGAAGTAGATGCGCCATTCAACGGAGCCGGATGTTCGGCCTCGTCAGCTAAGCCATCTTGTCTCAATCTGTCGACGTTGCGCCGCCAAACAATATCGGCACAGGACGGAAGCACAGCATTTAGGCCACCAATGATCCGGTCTTTATGCTTTTCACACCACAAGGCCGAGCTGGACACGACCAAGGTATCTGCGACCCTATCGACGACCAATCCACTGAGCCTATCCCCTTCGCCATTAACGACGCGGTAAATATTGGTGGCCTCGCCGGGCAGAGCGATGGCCTCCCTGAGTGCGACAGCGTTGCGCATCCTGGCGACGATCTCGGCGGCATAGTCCCAGGGCAACGGGGGATCTAACTCGTCGCTCGGGGCAACGTGTTTGAGCATGCGCACGCGAAACATACTATGCGGATTAAAAAAGCCGTAGCCAAGACAGGCGTAGGCGCCATTGCACACGGCGACGGGGTCGCAGTCGGATAAGGTGTGCCCCGGCAGGGGTATGTGTCGCTCAACGGAGCCGGCAAACACCATGGGGTTTCGCTGGTCGCGGAACAAATTGGCCTTGCCGCGCTTGAGCACGACGACGCTCAGGCCGGCGTCCAGCAGCTTGTCGATGCTGGCGTTGTGGTTGCGGCCCTCCTGGACCGCGGGGGACGTTACCTGCGCTTTCGCGGTTACCACGCGGCAGGCGCTGTAGCTACGGCGGGGAGGGCATTTGCTTAATCTGGTGGGCAATTGGGCGCCGCGGAACGAGGTTATCGGGCTGGATTCGAAGACGAAGGCTAACATTTTGGGGGGGGGAGGGAGGAGTTGGGAAGACGTGGAAGGGGGTCTTCGGTGAGTTTGTTTGCGAGTAAAAGTGAGAGCAAAAAGGGGGGAGATGGGGTGTGTGGTGGTTTTAGAGTTGGGATCTAGGCTCTGCGGTAGGAAAATGTGGCAATCTCTGCCGTTGTCGTGTAAAGGGATGTGATAAGTCCCTTACGAGTTAGATAGCGGCGGTCCGCGGTGTTTAAAAGGAGGACAACTCGCAAGTCCTCTTTGCTGTCTCAATCAAACCGTCATGCGCCGTCTTTTTAACCATAAATTAGAAAAAAGGTTTTTGCCCTGCAAGTCAAGCAAGTCCTGGACTTGCAGAGCAAAAACCTTTTTAGTCAAGCAAATCCTGGACTAGGAAGTCCTTCACTTACAGTCCAGACCTCGGCGTTGTCAACTTTCTACCATGCAACGCTCCTCGGAGCACCTTTCTCCCTGCAATACCAGAGTCAAGCCCTCCTACAACAGCGTACCGTGTACAGGGGTCCGCAAAACGGCCCCCGTCCCACCAACTCTCTCAACATAACACCATCATCTAGCTAGTTCTTCATCTCTCTCCCTCCCTATACCTCTACGTCTCGAAGAGTACCAGATGGCATTCCAGCTGTCGTGTCAAGCCAAATATTTAATTGCGCAGTACCAAGGGTACTTGACATTTATCCTTCTATCTTGCACCTGCAGACCCCCTGTTGATAACAGAGATTGACAGCAGGTACGATGAAAACGACTGTGTTCGTTCCATAGAAACATCTTCCCAATCCTCGTGAATAAACCAAAAATCATTGTTAACAGCATTTGCTTTCTTATGGTATCCCTTACAATGATACAGCTCAACCGCCGCTTCATCGAAACCGCGCATCCCATACCCTCGCTTCCTCTCATGCGCAAACTCTGTACAATTCCTCACAAACTGCGACCCAGGCAGCATCATCAGTTCCAACCATGGTCTCTTCGAGCTGATCCGCACGGCCTTCCTTACATTCCAATCTACCCCATCCTCCCACTCAGCCCCTGCCCTTCGCACTGCGCAGTTGAATCCAATCTGATCGTCTCCATAAAGCAACACATCCCGCAGAACGTAATCCAAGAAGAACTCTCGCATTTGCGCAGACGACCGCATCAGCATCCACCCCATGCACGGCCAGTGCCTCCACTCCATCCTCCCAGGTCCCGGGGAGGGGCAAGCGTCCGGCAGTTCTCCTTTCGTCGGGTTCGGAAAGTTGGACGGCGAGGAGATCATGTCGAGAGTCCCGTCGTGAAAGTGCGAATGCACGCTCGTGAACGGCGACTTCATCATCACCGCGTCCACGTCGCACACCAGCACATCCATTCCGTGCTTCAAAATCATGTACGTCGCGAGCGTGCGGCGTATCCAAACGTCCGACTTTTCCACCTCGCTCTCGCAGGGGCCTCGCAGTAGCGGCACAACCGGCGCGCCGCGTTCCCGGAAAAAGCCGTGCGCGTCTTCGTCGAGGGCGACGAGGATGTAGTTGTCAAGATGTATCCGCAGCATGCTTGCGCACCAGTTAAGGACGACATCGTAGGTGCCGTCAGTCACGACGACGAGCACCACTGTTCGGAACTGCTGCCGTTGAAACGCGAGCCGGATGATCCCGTCGTAACACGCCTTGGAGCCCCAGCCGCCGATGCATGCACCACCCCGGTGCAAACCTTCGAGCACATCGTCGATTGTACCCCCGCCTTTTGTTTGCGAATGCTTTGTAGTAACCGGGGGTTTGGTTGTCGTGGGTGTTGATGTCGACGCGTCAGCATAATTGTCTGGTCGTGCAGCTTTGACGTGTACATTCGAAACGTCGGATAGTGATGCCAGTGTACCAGCATACAGGTCGGGTCGGCCAGCGGCAACTTCGGGTACTGGTGCCGATGCATCAACATACTTGTCAGGTGACCGCACTTTGGCGTCGGATATTGATGAAGATGGTGCGGCATGTTGGGCAGGTTGTCCTACTTTGACTTCGGGTATCGAACTATCGGCATACTTGCCAGACCGGGCGACCTTTGGGCCTGGAGCAGAAACGTCAGATATGGATGCCCATGCAGCAGTATACTGGTCAAGTGGGGCACCTTCAACGTCGGGTGATGATGCAGGTGCACCAGTATACTTGTTAAAGCGGGCAAGTTTGACGTCTGCAACAGAAACGTCGGATAGCCATGCCAATGAGGCAGGATACTTGCCGGGTGGGGCGAGTTGGATATCGGGGGTGAGTGGACGGCCGTCGAGAGTATTCGATTCTTTCACTGAAACAGCGGATATCGGCGTGGGAGCGGTGTGCCTTACACTCCTTGCGACCGTCATGAGCATTGTCGAGGCACTCGCAAAGGAAGGGATGCGAGCGGTTTGTTTGGCTGCAGTTTCAATGGGGTTGCCATTTGCGGCCATGGCGTAGCGCAAGTGTGAATTGAGGCGATGATGCATATTTGAGAGGTTCCCTACGATGTTGACAGGGCCAAACATTGCGGTGCCGAGAATGAAGAGGGCGGCGATAGTTTTGCGGAAGAATGTTGGCTGTCGGGATGGGGTTCGGCTCCCATGTTTCATGGCAAGCAGACCGTGGATGTGCTGCATTCGTCGATACATCCATACGGGATGTACAGCTAAAAGCGGTGAGGCAGGAAAGTCATGCAATGGAAGGTGGTGTGTGAATTTCAGTTGGTTCTCAAGCTCTGTGATTTTCCCTGTCGAGAGCAAGTATCGGTGGACATTTTGTTGCTGTCTCGAAGGCTACAGAGTGTTCCGAGCAACAGAAGGGGTTTGAAGGATGTAGACGCATTGAGAGGTTGACGTGGCGGGGAAAATAGAGGTGTCAGAAAGAGTCGACGCGGTCCCGCTTGCTCTTGGGATGCTTCCATGACAAGCTCTGCTTACGCGTAGCGAGTCAAAGAGAGGTCATTTGTCGGGCCAACGAATTCATCATCGAGAACGAAGAAGATCAAAAATCGAAAGACGTTGCTTCTGCAAGTGACTTGACTTTCAGGAAACAGGTTTAGAAGGAAAGTATAATCGCTTCCGTTAGTGTCTTCCTCCATGTGCTCTCCTCGCCAAACGCATCAACGAACAATCGGTTTCGTTGGTCTTCCTCCATGTCCTCTCCTCCCCAAACGCATCACCGCCCGCCATGTCCTGGTATTCCGAATAAAAAATAAAAATTACCCCCAGCAGGGCTCGAACCTGCGACCCTGGCGTTATTAGCACCATGCTCTAACCAACTGAGCTATGGAGGCCGATTGACATACTGCTTTCGTTCGCTCGCCAAAATTGAAACAATTTAGAGTTGGTGAAGCGTGTAAAATATCACAACTTGGGAACCACACACAGCTCCCGCGATGCCGAAGAAGACGAACGAGTTGCGACCTCCGCCGTTGTCGCCGCCCTCCACCGCTGCCCTCGCCGCGCCGCCGTTGGAGGCCGCAGCACTCTCTCCCCTGGACCAATGATCTCAGATAGCCCCACCGCCGACCCCCTGGCCCCCTCTCACAGCGCTTCCCTTCCACCATCCATGACAGACGCATTCTCGCCCTCCCCTGAAAACCGACCATTCCCCCTCCCGGACGCCCCACCCCTCCCCTTGCCGTCGGTCCACGAACTCCTTTCGACCCCGATTCGGCCCTCGGACATTTTCACTTCTATCCCTGGCCCTTGCCTGCATAGCACTGTTCTACTTCTAATTCGCCTCGTGCGCGCTGCCACAGCAGCTAACACCCCCGACGCCACTCATCAAGCATTTATGCGCCTTCACATGCTGCCTACTGTTGTGCTCCGAAAAGCTTTCCGTGGAGAGCCCGGATGGCGTTCCTCGCGCGGTCAAATGCACGCCCTCCGTCTCCGCCTACGTAGGGCAAGCACCGGTCGCGAATGGGGTACCTTGTGGAGAGAAGCCCTTCATGCTCACGAAGCACGGCGGGCATGGCAGCACACACACTCCAAGCTCCCTTCACCCCACAGCTCTCGCGCCGCGCAAGCCGCCCGCGCCATGCGGCTAGCCTCCCAAGCCCAGTACGGGCGCGCGATGCGCACGTTCACCAACCCTCCTCTCGCCAACCTCAACGACACGGCCACGGTTGCAGCACTGCAAGCCCTTCACCCCGACCCTCCCGTCCCCGTCATGCCTCTGCCGCCCTCCGCACAACCACGGCCGCCAGAGGTCTCGGAGCAATCCGTTCTCCGTGCCGTCAGGCGCCTCAATCCCAACTCAGCCGCCGGTCCAGACCGCATGTCGCCCAAGCTCCTGCACCTCCTTGCCCACACACAAATTAGTCCCGAAGCAGGAGTGACCGGCATCTCTGCGCTCACAAATCTCGTCAGCCGCCTGGCCCGTGGTTCCCTTCCGCCTTGCACCATCCCCCTTGTCAGTGCCGCAACTCTGCTGCCCCTACAGCCACGCCCGGCCAAAATTCGCCCAATTGCAATTGGACAAAGCATCCGTCGACTCGTCACGAAAGTCCTCCTCCCAGCCGCAATAGAGGATTGCCGTGACCACTTCGCTCCTGAACAATTAGCCAATGGTGTTCCGAACGGCATGGACGCTATCGTACACGACGCCCGGATGCTACTTCGTCGGCATGGAAGGGACCCACACTACGTCATGGTGTCAATTGACGCCTCCAATGCCTTCAACCGTTTCTCCCGCCAGAAAGTGCTGGACCAGCTCCCAACCAGAGCACCCTCCCTGTCCCGCTTTCTTGACATGGTTTATGCACGCACCACCTCCCCCCTGATACTGCCCTCGTCCCCGCCCACCATGCTAGTCAGTCGAGAAGGGTCGCAACAGGGAGACCCTGCGAGCATGCTCCTTTTCTCTCTTGCTCTTCAGCCTCTCGCCCGCCGCATCTCGCACGAATGTGACGTTCTTATGAACCGCTGGTATGCAGATGACGGTACCATCATCGGCCGTATCGATGAAGTTGCCAAAGCTCTTAAAATCCTCAACACAGAAGGACCAACGCACCAGTTCTTCCTCAACCCAGCTAAGACACGTGTCTTCTGGCCCAGCCTCTCCCCAGACCTCCTGCTTCCCCTCACCACTGTTGCCCCTTTGCACGTCATCGAAGACGGCGGGTTGGAACTCCTCGGGGCCCCTATTGGGTCTGACTCGTTCATGACGCAGTACATCACCCGCAAACTGCAAAACTGCAATTCCGCCCTCGCCCACCTGGACCACATCCCAGAGGCCCGCGTACGCTTTCACTTACACAGGGTCTCCGCTTCCGCCTGTCGCATGCAGCATCTGTTCCGGCTGGTACCCCCGACCTTCGCCTTTTCGTTCGCACAGCAATTTGATAGAGATCAGCTGAAGGCATACGAGCGCTTCAATAGTGTTACTCTTTCACCGACCCTGGCTGCTCAAGTCCGATTGCCGTTCGTTCATGGGGGACATGGCCTCACATCATTGGCCAATACTTCACACGCCTCTTACGCTGCAAGTCTCATCGACTCCGCCCCGGTACGACTAAAGGGGCCCCAGTTTCCCAACCTCAGGCAATACCAGCGCTTTGCACGAACATCATTGAGGGTGGTTCTCGGCAATTTACCTCCTTCCGTACAACCACCTCACTTCTCCCTTACATCCTCGGATCTTGGCTGCCTCGAACCTACCGCACTTCTAGCGCGTCCTGAACGCATACATACGTTTTTACTTCAGGCGCAGCATAGCGCAGCGGCCAGCCGGTTCTGGGAGAAACCCCTTTGGCAATCCTCTCCCGACCCTCGTCAGCACAGTGCAGCTTCAATTCGTCGGAGGGTACGGTTTCGCTCTCTCCTCGCTCCTGGCGCGACATCTTTCCTCACTGCCCACCCAGCTGCCACCTCCCGCATTCATAACGCCACCTGGTCAACCATGCTACGTCGTCATCTGGACGCTCCTATCACATTCGATTCTATCTCGCCGTTGCGCTGCGCACATTGTTCCAAGCCACTCGACCCTCGAGGGGATCACGCGACCATCTGTAGCCATGGCTTCGGACCTGTCCACAGACACAATACCGTCCGAAATGTCTTCGCACGACACGTGTTCCGTGGGGCTGGACTTGCATATTCCCTCGAGGTCCCTTTCCTGTTACCAAACTCTGCTGCACGACCGGCCGATATCCTCGTTCAACCGTCCCACCCTGCCCCAGGGCTCCCGTGTGACAAACCTACGGCCTACGACGTCACAATCTGCAGTCCATTCCGCAGGGGCATGCTGTATCCCGCTGCCCGCCACTCTGCAGGAGCTGCAGAAGCAGCTGACGTTCGCAAGCGTCAGGCCCTCGAGCGGACTATTCGATCCACCCTGCTCATTGACGATCACCTTCCTCCGCCACCCCTAGACTGGCACTTTCAGCCACTATCGTTTGACACTCTAGGCGCCCCCTCACAGTCTACACTGCATGTCATCCATGAACACGCGAAGCTAATAGCACTTCGGAGCTCTTGCACCATTGCCTCCGCTCAAGCCCGCATCCACCAACGCCTGAGCTTCGCCATCTGGTCCACTGTCGCTGCTGCGATCCTTTCTCGCCTACCGACACACGTCGCGGACATCTCATATCCGATCGAAGTGTAACTCAGCTTCCTATCTGCTAGTGTATCTGTAAGCGCACCCCTGATGCATTGATAAAATTACCCCCCCCCCCAATTTAATTGTGAGCGGTGACCATGATGTGGGGCTTGTGAGAAAGGTCATATGCGAAGCATGTTCTTCCGACGGAGTGAATTGAGGGACAAACTGGGGATGCTGGGCGCTGGAAATCATTGCATACTCGTCGACTGAGGAGATGGGAGGGAATGGGGACTGTATTGAAGCACTCGAGGATGTTTGCTCGCCACTTGCGGTTGGAAGGGGAAGGGGCGCGTGGACATTGGGGACATTGGGGGGTGTTCAATGAAATCGATGACAGCGTCACAGAGAGGTGGGAAGGGGAGATCGGAAGGGGACTCTGCTGCGGCAACGGAGGTCGTATTAGGGAGAGAGCATGCGGAAGAGGGAGAACAGAGGGCCGCAGACGACGATGGTGTGAGAGATCGGAAGGGGAAGTCGGAAGGGGACTGTGCTGCGGCGACAGAGGGTGTATTAGGTAGAGAGCGGGGGTATTCAACGAAAGCGATGGCAGCGTAACTGAGAGGTGGGAAGGGGACTGTGCTGCGGCGACGGAGGGCGTATTAGGGAGAGAGCATGCGGAAGAGGGAGAACAGAGGGCCGTAGACGACGATGGTGTGAGTGCCGGACAATTGGCATGAGACGACGGCAGTAGGTAGGGGGTCAAGGAGGCAAAAGGGGTTGGTGGAGAACGGGCGCGGCACAAGGGGACGGCGCCGTCGAGAGCCAAAACGGGGGCGGGGTTAATGCGAGGTACGGGAGGCGTGTGACTGGCAAGAAACAAGTATCAAAACCGCAGATACCATTCGCCCGTCCGTACCACCCCAAAGGTTAAGTATGCCGCGCCGACAGCCGCCACTCTTCACGCAATCAGCACAACAGCCAGTTGTTATCGTGTGTCATTCTCGGTAACCTTTTGCTTCCGCCTCTGTGTTTCGCAATTTTCCGCGCTTGCAGACTCTACCCTTCTTCCTTTGCTGGCAAACCTTTTCGTGCGAACGAAACGTTTGAAACGTTTAACACCTCTATTCTTACCAATAAAGACTCTTACTACACTGTACCGTACATGTGAATTCTAAACCCAATTCTTTAATATAACATTCACCTGCGTGCATAAAGAAGAAGAGAAAGAAGAAACACCAAACCGCATTTTCAGATCGCTCTTTCTTCTGCCTATATGTCTGCGTGTAAACCGTACCTCTGGCGTGCTTGACCCGGAAGGCCAAGATGGACGTCCTGGAACGTGAGCAAAACGTCTGGGTGCCAGTCCGTTGCCTGCACGGCAAAAAAAAGAAGAAACAGTGCCAGTGCGTCGTGTAAATAGGAAAGAAATACAAACAGAAAGAACGAAAAGCGCCGAAAAAACAAGCGGTGACTCGCGTTAGCAACAGCATCTCTCTCAAGCGCTGTTGCGGTAAGTCTCGCAGGCAAGGAGGCCGCCCATTTCACATATGCTCTTTGGTGCGGTCGCCGGGACACCAGTGCGAGACTTACCTTTCAAAAGAGAGGACTCGTATTCGTGAACCACGGCCCAAACAGAATGGAAGCCGAGGTTGAAGCGGTTGTGTCGGAGGTGTCTGTGCGGTCAGTGCGGTCGGTGCGGTGGGTTAAGGTGGATGTCGGGAAGGGAAAGGGAGGCGCACAGTCCGGTGCATCACGTGTGTTTGTTCTGTTGATGTACAGAGGTGCATTTGTCTGAGGGTGGAAGTGAGAGTCGACATTTATCGTAGGAGAGACAGACCGTGAGTGGATGATCTGACGTGCGCATGAGCGCATGAGCGCATGAGCGCATGAGCGCATGAGCGCATGAGCGCATGAGCGCAGGTGAGATCGTGATTCAAGCATGATTTCTGCCTGGAAGGACCCTCGGTGCGTGTCTGCATTTGTCAGTAAGTGTGAAACGTGTTTTCAGCCGGACGTCTGGAGGCATGTTCATCGATTCCAGATTCCGGGTGTCTTCCGCTCCCGATCCCGGTTTCTAGGGTCCGAAACCCCTCGACAAATGACGTCACTGCGCGCCATACGGGACAGATCCAACCAATTAAATGCATACGATCGATTTGCATTCCGCCTCCCCTGATTCCACGCATTTCGCTGGTCCCGCTGCTTCCTGTCGCGGACTTCGGAACGCCACATTTTGGGCTGTGTACTACGGGGGAGGGTAAAAACGTGAGGATGTGGGGACGTGGAGACGTGGGAACGTGGGGACGTGGGAACGTGGGGACGTGGGAACGTGGGGACGTGGGAACGTGGGGACGTGGGAACGTGGGGACGTGGGGACGTCATCGCTAACGCCTCGGGCTGCTGTGCGTGCCGGGAAGCCGAGATGGCAGGCAGTAGGGAGCGTAGCGGGTGAGGGAGGTCTCGTGAGCAAGAGGCAGTGTGCAGGATGATGGATTTGGGGGGGGGGAGGCAGCGGGAAGACGTTGGAAGGGCGAAAGGCTTAGTTTTAGAGTATTTGGATTGCGTAATGTGTAAAAGGAATATGTTTAGCGAGAGGAGAGAGAAAAGTGTTTGTCGCTAAGACCCGTGCGCGTTTGAACTCGATCGAAACGGAGACGAACAAGTAGATGAACATAGACAAGACGAGGTTGGTGAGGAGAGGAGGAACAATACAAATACAATACAAATACAATAAAAAGGCAATAGAAAGAAAGCAGAAAGAGAACAGAAAGAGAACAGAAAGAAAGCAGAAAGAAGTAGGAAGAAAATAGGAAGAAAGTAGGAAGAAAGTAGGAAGAAAGTAGGAAGAAAGTAAAAAAAAGAAAGTAACTAAGTAAATAGGTAAGCTACGAATTTTGCCCGGGCCAACTTGGTTGGGTGCCCAAGTGGCTCAACCAACTTGGGCACGCAACCAAGTTGGGCACCGGGCGGGAATCGAACCCAGGGCCTCGCAGGCGCAGAGTGTCAACTGCACCACCAGCAACCGGTTGTCCACTCTGCCACGAACTCCTCTCACCCAAACAGCGGACTCTGCGGCGACACAGTGTGGATACCAACGGTATTTAAAGGTATGCATTTGTCCTCGCAATCAACATTGCTTCTATAATTTGAAGGTTGTCCGCGGCTTGCATGTTACAGTGAATTGAACAAGTAAAAAACTCGCTTCTGCGTGTGAGCGATCATCGCTCACCGCACCATTGTGCACTTTGGTTAAACATTACTTTTTTAAAAGTAGGTACCTTCACCTCCACACGCGCACAGTACAGTACATGGCTGTGATTGCCATGTACTGTACCAAGGGTACTGTGTCAGGTGTTCGAGATCCGGATGTGAAACGTGTCCACGTCGAGAACACGCCCCCTGGGTACGTGCACTTACGACATATTTTTGCCGACATTTTGGCCCTCTCCCATGAATTCCCATTCTCTGTAATCTCCCACCATCCCTACTGTCCCTGGCATCTCCAATCTTTCCACGCTCTCCGCGCTCTCCGCGCTCTCGCTCTCCGCGCTCTCCGCGCTCTCCGCGCTCTCCGCGCTCTCCGCGCTCTCGCTCTCCGCGCTCTCCGCGCTCTCGCTCTCCCCGCTGCTGGGAGAGGAGCCTCGGTGCGCCGGTGCTTCGGCCGGGAGTCTGGAGGTGGAGGTATGTTTATCGATTCTACATTCCGGGTGTGTTGCGCTCCCGATCCGGTTTCCAGCACGGGTTGGGCGGGTTGGGCGGGATGTGGGCGGTGCGGAACGTTAACTAGAGAAATTGGGGGTTAGGTTGTAGGGTATTGGAATCAATTTAATTGTGAGCGGTGACCATGATGTGGGGCTTGTGAGAAAGGTCATATGCGAAGCATGTTCTTCCGACGGAGTGAATTGAGGGACAAACTGGGGATGCTGGGCGCTGGAAATCATTGCATACTCGTCGACTGAGGAGATGGGAGGGAATGGGGACTGTATTGAAGCACTCGAGGATGTTTGCTCGCCACTTGCGGTTGGAAGGGGAAGGGGCGCGTGGACATTGGGGACATTGGGGGGTGTTCAATGAAATCGATGACAGCGTCACAGAGAGGTGGGAAGGGGAGATCGGAAGGGGACTCTGCTGCGGCAACGGAGGTCGTATTAGGGAGAGAGCATGCGGAAGAGGGAGAACAGAGGGCCGCAGACGACGATGGTGTGAGAGATCGGAAGGGGAAGTCGGAAGGGGACTGTGCTGCGGCGACAGAGGGTGTATTAGGTAGAGAGCGGGGGTATTCAACGAAAGCGATGGCAGCGTAACTGAGAGGTGGGAAGGGGACTGTGCTGCGGCGACGGAGGTCGTATTAGGGAGAGAGCATGCGGAAGAGGGAGAACAGAGGGCCGTAGACGACGATGGTGTGAGAGATCGGAAGGGGAAGTCGGAAGGGGACTGTGCTGCGGCGACAGAGGGTGTATTAGGTAGAGAGCGGGGGTATTCAACGAAAGCGATGGCAGCGTAACTGAGAGGTGGGAAGGGGACTGTGCTGCGGCGACGGAGGGCGTATTAGGGAGAGAGCATGCGGAAGAGGGAGAACAGAGGGCCGTAGACGACGATGGTGTGAGTGCCGGACAATTGGCATGAGACGACGGCAGTAGGTAGGGGGTCAAGGAGGCAAAAGGGGTTGGTGGAGAACGGGCGCGGCACAAGGGGACGGCGCCGTCGAGAGCCAAAACGGGGGCGGGGTTAATGCGAGGTACGGGAGGCGTGTGACTGGCAAGAAACAAGTATCAAAACCGCAGATACCATTCGCCCGTCCGTACCACCCCAAAGGTTAAGTATGCCGCGCCGACAGCCGCCACTCTTCACGCAATCAGCACAACAGCCAGTTGTTATCGTGTGTCATTCTCGGTAACCTTTTGCTTCCGCCTCTGTGTTTCGCAATTTTCCGCGCTTGCAGACTCTACCCTTCTTCCTTTGCTGGCAAACCTTTTCGTGCGAACGAAACGTTTGAAACGTTTAACACCTCTATTCTTACCAATAAAGACTCTTACTACACTGTACCGTACATGTGAAATCTAAACCCAGTTCTTTAATATAACATTCACCTGCGTGTATAAAGAAGAAGACAAAGAAGAAACACCAAACCGCATTTTCAGATCGCTCTTTCTTCTGCCTATATGTCTGCGTGTAAACCGTACCTCTGGCGTGCTTGACCCGGAAGGCCAAGATGGACGTCCTGGAACGTGAGCAAAACGTCTGGGTGCCAGTCCGTTGCCTGCACGGCAAAAAAAAGAAGAAACAGTGCCAGTGCGTCGTGTAAATAGGAAAGAAATACAAACAGAAAGAACGAAAAGCGCCGAAAAAACAAGCGGTGACTCGCGTTAGCAACAGCATCTCTCTCAAGCGCTGTTGCGGTAAGTCTCGCAGGCAAGGAGGCCGCCCATTTCACATATGCTCTTTGGTGCGGTCGCCGGGACACCAGTGCGAGACTTACCTTTCAAAAGAGAGGACTCGTATTCGTGAACCACGGCCCAAACAGAATGGAAGCCGAGGTTGAAGCGGTTGTGTCGGAGGTGTCTGTGCGGTCAGTGCGGTCGGTGCGGTGGGTTAAGGTGGATGTCGGGAAGGGAAAGGGAGGCGCACAGTCCGGTGCATCACGTGTGTTTGTTCTGTTGATGTACAGAGGTGCATTTGTCTGAGGGTGGAAGTGAGAGTCGACATTTATCGTAGGAGAGACAGACAGTGAGTGGATGATCTGACGTGCGCATGAGCGCATGAGCGCATGAGCGCATGAGCGCATGAGCGCATGAGCGCATGAGCGCATGAGCGCATGAGCGCATGAGCGCAGGCGAGATCGTGATTCAAGCATGATTTCTGCCTGGAAGGACCCTCGGTGCGTGTCTGCATTTGTTTTCAGCCGGACGTCTGGAGGCATGTTCATCGATTCCAGATTCCGGGTGTCTTCCGCTCCCGATCTCTTCCGCTCCCGATCCCGGTTTCTAGGGTCCGAAACCCCTCGACAAATGACGTCACTGCGCGCCATACGGGACAGATCCAACCAATTAAATGCATACGATCGATTTGCATTCCGCCTCCCCTGATTCCACGCATTTCGCTGGTCCCGCTGCTTCCTGTCGCGGACTTCGGAACGCCACATTTTGGGCTGTGTACTACGGGGGAGGGTAAAAACGTGAGGATGTGGGGACGTGGAGACGTGGGAACGTGGGGACGTGGGAACGTGGGGACGTGGGAACGTGGGGACGTGGGAACGTGTGGACGTGGGAACGTGGGGACGTGGGGACGTCATCGCTAACGCCTCGGGCTGCTGTGCGTGCCGGGAAGCCGAGATGGCAGGCAGTAGGGAGCGTAGCGGGTGAGGGAGGTCTCGTGAGCAAGAGGCAGTGTGCAGGATGATGGATTTGGGGGGGGGGGAGGCAGCGGGAAGACGTTGGAAGGGCGAAAGGCTTAGTTTTAGAGTATTTGGATTGCGTAATGTGTAAAAGGAATAGGTTTAGCGAGAGGAGAGAGAAAAGTGTTTGTCGCTAAGACCCGTGCGCGTTTGAACTCGATCGAAACGGAGACGAACAAGTAGATGAACATAGACAAGACGAGGTTGGTGAGGAGAGGAGGAACAATACAAATACAATACAAATACAATAAAAAGGCAATAGAAAGAAAGCAGAAAGAGAACAGAAAGAGAACAGAAAGAAAGCAGAAAGAAGTAGGAAGAAAATAGGAAGAAAGTAGGAAGAAAGTAGGAAGAAAGTAGGAAGAAAGTAAAAA